AGGAGCAAGGGTCTCAGGGTCCCAGGAGGTGATGGGGATTTGTCCTCTCCATCTTTCTGTGATGCCAAGGGGCAGGAATACTTTAGCTGGGAAGCTGAGTGTGCCCCAAGCCAACCTGTTGCAGATGGGTGACAGTTTGTTTGAAGCTTATGGCTCTCTCCTTCTCTTTAAACCAGGTGTGTTCTGACAAGATGAAGCAGCAGCCCTACCATTTTAGACACTCTGCCCTTTCTCACCTTCTCCCACTATCCCTCCCTCCCTCCCCCAGTCTCCCTCATTTAACCTCAAATGGAAGCTCTGGGCTGCTCACCTTGTCAGATATTTCCTTTGAAAGGTGGAGAACAAATAGGCCCTGGGGAGTGGCTGACACTGTGTGACCTCTTGTTCCTGTATAGCGCTGCACCTTGAATAGGGTCTTTTATTTGTTTGTTTTTTTTTACTATATCCTCTATTCTCTCCTTCCTGAGCTTGGTGTTGTAATCTTCTTCCAAGTCTTCTCTCCAACCCCAAGGCACTATCTTGCCATAAATAAGAGGCAGAGAGAAGAGGGTGGCCTTCTGGCTTTGGGGTGGGATTGAGACTAGACCCCAAGTTAGAACAAACCCCTTGGAACCCAGTTCAGTAACAGTCAAGGGAGCGAAAGGACGTTGCTAAAATGTGCCTCTGCTGGGGATGGCGTGGGAGTGTGTATTGGATGAGGTGGGATTTGGTCCTTGGATACTGGAGAGAGACTCATGATGAAAGAGAAAAAAAAAACATGGAAAAAATATTCTGAGAGCTGGGCAAAACATCAAAATTAATCCGAGATGCGTCATAGGTCATTGAGATCTTAAAACTCTTTCCTTCTGTATTAGTTTGCTAGGACTGCCATAACAAAACGTCACAGACTGAATATCTTAAATAACAGAAATTTATATTCTCACAGTCCTGGAGGCTGGAAGTCCAAGATCAAGGTGGTGGCAGGTTTGGTTTTCTTGCTGTATCCTTACATGGTCCTCTCTCTCTTTGTGTTGTCTGTGTCCTAATCTCCAGTATGACATTAGTCATATTGGATTAAGACCTACCCATAAAACTTCATTTTACCTTAAGCACCTCTTTAAAGGCCCCATCTCCCAGTACAGTCACAGTCTGAGGTACTGAGGGTTAGGACTTCAACTTATGAATTTTTTTGGGGGTGGGGGCGGGCACGGACACAAATTCAGCCCATTTCTGGGAACAGAGATTGGTGTGTTTTGTATATTATTGAAACAGTTTGGGGAATTCCCAGAAGTTAACTTGGCAGAAGATTTTAGCATACCTGCATCTCCTCATCTTACTAATCATTTGCATATTTTTATTGCAGAAGAAATACATCATTTGCTTTTTATTTCTCTATTAGTCTTTTTTTAGGCTATTTCTGTCAGTACATTTAAATATATAGGTCTTTTTCTAAAATTAAAAAAATTCAAGTCTTCATAGGTAAGAAAAGGACTTTAAGAAATGGATGTTCCATCTCCCCTTGAGGCTGTTAAGAGGGATACCTTTCCACATCCTAAAACCAGCAAGTTCATTAAATGAAGAGTTAAACTGAGACTTTCACAAGAATTTCAGTCCAGTTCTTTACAATATGAAGACATGTTATTCAGAAATTTCACTAACTTGTTCTGTTGTCTGTTAATATAATTTTGCCCTGGAAAGTGTTATTTTAACAAAAGGGAATTGTTAGATTCCTAAAACTTTTTAAATTGTTGCCATGTCTTGGGAAAATAACCTCAGTATCTGTCTTGATAATTTCTTGCCTCATTGATAAATCTCTGTATTCCCAAAAGTTATATTACTTCAAAGATTTATCTGCCACTCCTGAAACTAAAATAATATTGCACATCAACTATATTTCAATTTAAAAAACTATATAATTTTTAAAGTAAAAAAAAAGTCTTTAAAAAAAAGATTTATCTGCCAGTTAATAATTTTTCTTTTCATTCACATGCGTGATGGAATATTTGTAATCCTTTGACTTATATATTTTATTACCTAACAAATTATTTTTTCTTTTTTTAATTCTTAAAATGTATTTGTTTGTGTTTAGTTAGTAGACTTTATTTTTTTAGAACAGTTTCAGGTTTACAGAAAAATTGAGCAGAAAGTACAGAGTTCTCATATTTCTCCTCCCTCTACCTCATTTTCTCCATTATTAACTACTTGCATTGGTGTGGTACTTTTGTTACAATAGATGAGCCAATATTTATACATTATTATTAACAAATTATTATTGTTAACTAATTATTATTATTATTTACATTAGGGTTCCATGCTTTGTATACAGTTCTATGGGTTTTGTCCAGTGCGTAATGTCATGTATCCACCATTACAGTCAGTAGCATACAGAATAATTTCATTGCCCTAAAAAACTTCCCTGTACTCCATCTCAAATAATTTCTTTTAAATTAACACCACTGTGTGGTGAGAGCCTCTCCCTCCCCGACCTCCTTGGCCTTCATGAAAATGAAATAACCTTTTATCCCACCAGCCTTTTTCATTATTTGTGCATCTGTCTCCTATATTTGTAAGGTCAGCCACCTGTTCTGATAAGCTTCCTAAATGTGAGTTTCAAGGAACTAATCCAGATTCTTATACTCAGATCCAGAATCCAGCTAGTGGCCTCTTTTCCTTGAGTTTATCTTTATTGTCACCTGCTGTGTTTGGGCCTTTGACATGTGCCGATCGTGGTTCCCCAGCTTGGGATGGACTGCAAGGGATCCAACATGAAGACTGAGCCTAGGAAACAGACTGTGAGCATTCCCAGGACAGGACATGGGCTAAGAAACACAATTTTGGAGTGAGATGGAAGGAGAATGGTATGGAGTGTCCATTGTTTAGGGAGGTGTGTCGTAGAACAGAAGCTCTCCCTTTGATTTCCTCTCTCATTCTCTGGTAACAAAAAGACCTCTAAGAATATATGCAGATTATTTAGGGTGACCTTATTTATTGTCCAAGTTGGCACACTTTTGAGAGTAAAAGGGAGCATTATTAATAATATACTAGGGCAGCAGGCGCAAAACAAGTCACCCAAATATTAGACCAAATGATTTTCATGCCGTAAAAAATCTCTCAATATTGCTTTCTTCATGGTAAGAACAGCTGTCTTTTCCTCCCTGTTCCTTTCTGGGCACACCATTACCATACCCAGAGTTGACCTTTGTGATCTCTGGCATCCTTCTCAATTATTTTCTTTGCACATTTTTTTCTTCATTGTGTTCGATTTTGGATAAAACAACAACAAAAACACAACACTTTTGTTCTTTAAGAATTGTCCAAACATTTATTTAGTGGTGCATTTGGGAGAGAGTGAACTAGGCATAAATTCATGTAATGTCTAGGGAAAGTGGCAACCGGGACTTTTGGACCCACCAGTAATTTAGAGGCAAGGCAAGAGCACAGTAAGGGAAGAGAAGGGCCCTAGCTAATTTCTTATTAGCTTTTCAGTGAACTGCTGTTAACATGAGATTAGAACTATTTCTCCTCTCAATTTTTAATCTCTGTTCCCAAAGTTCCTTACAAGGTACCAAGGGAAATAATGACTGATTCAAGGCGCACTCCCACTTTGGCTTCTTCTCTCTTCTTTATACTAACTCTCATGTCTCCCTCTGTTCCATGAGAAGAAAGGAAAACTGCAAAATTTCCAGAAATTCTAGTCATAGTGGAAAAATGGGGGAAGAATAGATAATGAAAGTAGATAGAAAATAGAAAAATAGATAATGAAATTATCATGTAATCAAATTATCAAGTGATAATTTGATGTTTTCACACCATTTACAGGTGGTTGCCTTTGTTATCCGAAGAACATAAAAATCAAATCTAAGTTTGCTCAAAAAAAAAAAAAATCTAAGTTTGCTCAAGGACCATGTTTGCCCATTCTATCTAGATGGTGAGGTCCAGCAAAAACACAAAACAAAACTCTGGAGCAATTTAGAGAAAATTTTTTTTTTTTCTTAAAATAAAACACTGTGGAGTAGGGCAGGGCATAGGGTTACAGAATTCCCCAGGAAACATTTTCACGGGTGGGGCAGAAGGTGTGAGTGGCTAGTTTCGTCCCAGAGCTTTAAAAAAGTCCCACAGTGTTTGAATGCCAGCCATGGACCTGGGTCCTAATTGCCCAAAATCAAAATAAATCACATCTATTTGTGTGGCCTTGAATCTGTGCTCGGGGCTATGCAACTTCTTAAAGTAGCTTTTATTCTTGAGCAGACACATAAAATCACTCTCTGTAAAATATAGAGAATAATGGTATATTACCCCTGTGTTTTTCCCCACCCGCCTCCAGTTTAAGGAAGAGAACTCCCATGCCCTCTCCACCACCATCCTTTTCTTAACTCCCTGAGGTGACTACTGTCCTGATTTTTATATTTATCTCTTGCTTTTTTGACTACCTACTTGTAGCCTAAACAAGTCATTTAGTTTTACACTTATAAATGGATCCATACTGTAGATCCATTTTGTAACTCGCTTTTTTTTGCTCAACATTATGTTCTTGAGATTCGTCCATGGTTTTGCATGTAGCTGTAATCTATTCATTTCTGCTGCTGAATAGTATTCCCTTGCATAGATATTACCAAAATGTATTTATCTATTCTATTGCAGGACACTGAATGGTTTCCAGGTTTTTGAAATTACAGGGTTGCTAGAAACATTCTTGTAGGGGTCTCCTGTGCACAGCCCCAAGAATTCCTCCAGGTAAACACCTAGAAGTGAAATTGCTTTAAATAATGCCACACACTAATTTACACACATATAAACACACACCCTAGCAGTGTATGTGTTTTAATTGTTCCACATCTGCTGAGCCCTTAATATTGTCAGACAATATAGTTTTCACCAATTTGATGGATGTGAAATGTTATATCCTGTGATTTTTGTATTCATTCCCATGTTACTAATGAAGTTGACCTTTCTAGGAGCAGTGAGGAAGACAGAAGAACCGCTTGGGCTGGTAAAGCCATCTGCCAGGCACTACTGCCACCATGCCCAAGAGAAAGGCAAAAGGAGATGCTAAAGGTGACAAAGCAAAGGTGAAGGATGAGCCACAGAGGAGATCGGCCCGGTTGTCTGCTAAACCTGCCCCTCCAAAACCAGAGCCCAGGGCAAAAAAGGCCCCTGCAAAGAAGGGAGAGAAGCTGGCCAAAGGGAGAAAGGGGAAAGCAGAAGGCAACAAAGATGGGAACAACCCTGCAAAAAACCGAGACGCCTCCACAGTCCAGTCACAGACAGCAGAAGGCACCGGGGATGCCAAGTGAAGTGTATACTTTTTTGATAGCTCTGTACTTCTAGTGACTCTACTGTTTGAAATACTATTTTTTTTAAATCAAATTTTGTAAAAACGTAGATTTTTTTTTTTTAAGTTATGTTGTTAGCACACAAGACGCTTTGTTGTTATCTTTTGTGGAATGGGCAAAATAACCACTAGTAGAATGTTTCAGAAGCTGGATTGAAATGGGGGAAAACAGAATTTTCTATCGTATTTGAAGATTATTCTTGGTTCCCAGGAGAGATTCTCCCACATTCACACATGACAGCCACTATGGCTCAGAAGCCTTACCGTGTGGGGAAGCAAAACTTCATGTCTTCTCCTTTCCTGATGCCATCAACACATCCTTGACTTCCTGAAACCAAGAGTCATGATGCGGCCTTGGCACCCCTAGAATCAGCTGCATCAGATAACAATACTCAGAATTTCTGGTGATGACATCAAGATGGTATTGCTCAAAAGAGCCAGGATTCCTGTTTGTAGTTTGTGGATCATCTCATTAATAGTCCTGGAGTTTTTAGTTCCTTTCCTCCATGTCAGAGGTGACCTGTGAAAAGCTCTTATATGCCTCATGTGAAATATTCACCCTTTCTGAAAACTTTTCCTGTTCATTGCAGCAACAGACTTTGTTGACTTTTTGGAGAGGGGAGTTTGAAAGTTGTAAGATGTTATGGATTGTCACCCATGTCCTGCTGGAAGTAACTATTTTTGAAAAGTATCTTATAAAGCTGGATACAAGTTGGCTTCATGGGAGGGGAGGGATCATTTCCTACTCCAGGTCATAAAGATATCCTTTACTGCCTTGTAAAAGTTTTATAGTTTTGCTTTTCACATTTGTCTTTAGTCTTCCCTGAACTGATTTTTGCAAAAATATGAGATAGTAATTCAATATAATATTTTTTCCATATGGTAAGTGGTTGTCCCAACCACTTGGTTGTCCCAACTTTTCTGAAAAGTTCATCCTTTCCCCACTGATCTGTAATAGTGGCTTTTTTCATAAATCAAGTTTCTTTTGCGCGGGGGGTGGGGAGCTGGGAGAGGTCTGTTGATGGTTTCGATTCTGACTCACTGGTCAATTTGTCTAACCTTGTGGCAATACTATACAATCCTGAGTACTACAACTTTAGAAAAAGGTCTTGATATCTCAGGACAAATACCACCTCCACCTTTAACATCACCACCAAACTTTTCTTCGTTGGAGTATCTTGGCTATATTCTTAGCCAACTGCTTTTCCATACAACTTCTAGAATTAGATTGACAAGTTCCAAATCAAACTAACAAAAGGTGGAATTTTTATTGGATTTGTATTGAATTTATAGATTAATTATAATATTGAGTCTTCCGATCCATGAACATGGTATAATTCTCCATTTATTTAGGCTTTCTAAATGTCTTTCAATAAAGTTTTATAATTTTCTCCATAAACGTTTTCTTTTGTTAATATTTCTTAGGGACTGTACACTTTTGGATGCTACTTTATATGGTATGTTTTTAGTTGCTACATTTTCTGTTTTCAGCTAAAGTTGATTTTTATATTCAACAACCTTGCTAAAACTCATTAATTCTTACGTCTGTGTATTCTTCGGGGCTTTCTACCTAGATAACCATATATTCTTTTTGTTTTGTTTTGTTTCCTCACAGTCATTATACCTTCTTTTCCTTTTTCTAGTTCTAGGCATTGTCTAAGTGCTGGAGGTACAACAGTGAACAAAACAAAGTCTCTGCTTTCACCAAGTTTATACTCTAGTGGGGGAGGGTGTAGAAGGTGCACAAACTCACGTGACAGGGTGCTTTAAATAAACAAGTGTAAGTGGGTGCTATTTAGATAGGGTGGTTAGAGAAATCCTCTCTGATGAGATGACATTTGAGCAGAGCTCTTAATGCAGTAAAAGAATAAGCTCTTAATGAAGTAAAGGAATAAGAGACGTGACTCTGAGGGGAAAACATTCCAGCAGAGGGAAAAGCAAATGCAGAGATGAGGTGAAAATATGTTTGGCATACTGAGGAAGAACAAGGAGGCAGAAGTGGCTGAATTGGCATGAGGGAGAGTAAGAGTGATAGTTGATATGATTGCAGAGATAGCCAGGGGCCAGAAAATGGAAGATTCTCCACATTGTCACTTTTCTCTGAAAATGATGGGATGCCATTAGAGTTTTGAATAGAGAAACCACACAATCTAAGTTATCAGTGTGTGTGTGTGTGTGTGTGTGTGTGTGTGTGTGTGTGTGTGTGTGTGTATGGCTGATGCATGAGCAATAGGGTGTAAGGGGGGGAAGAGTTGAAGGAGAAAGACCAGCTAGATGGCTGTCACAACTGAATTGCTGGAAATTCTACTTTGTCCTGTTATATTACCATCCTTCCTCTGCTCAACTATTCCCACCCCATTTTAATTGGTAAATTACAAATATTATCTGTGCTTTCCCTTTGCCAAACAACAGAACAGGATCAAAGATAAACATTCCCTGTTGTCAAGAATCCAAAGTCAAATTCAGGAAAGTCACCACTGTGTGTTTGGTGTTGTGATAATACTGCAGGAGGCCCTGACTCTGATGCCAGAGCATGAAAGGGTATTAGGAAGCACTTTCTGAGGCATAATTGACACCTAAGCAGCAAAATGAAAACAGAAGTTGGTCAAGCAAGGGGTGGGTAAAAGACTTCTAGTAAGAGTAGTAACATTTGCAAAGATGTTAAGAGAATATTGTGCATAGTAGGTGTTCCATAAAGTATTCTTGAATCAAAAAAAGTTTAAGTGTGTAACCAAATAAGTTATATTGGGCTTTTTAAAATAATAAGGTATTTCTCATTAAGTGCTTGTTTGCCAAACACTGTTCTGCTCAGTGATTTATAATACATGCATAATTTTATTTCCATGACCCTATGAATTGAATCATATTACTGTTCCCATTTTTATATTTAGTGAAACAGACAGAGATTAAATAATTTGCCCTGAGGTCATACAGTGAGAGTAAAATTCAGATTAAGACCCATGTCTAGAACTCCAAGGCCTAGAAGGCTCCTCATTGTTAAAAAGATCATTGGTATAACCTCAAAGGTAATCCATCCAAAAATATATTTGGTGTTTCTGAGTAAATTAAGGAATTTCCCAAGGTACCACTAGGAAACAGTCAAGTGTAAGTAATAATATTCTACAAGCTAAACATGCAAGGAAAATGAATTCCAGGGGAAAAGTGGTCACATGGAATTTAGAATTTTAGTGTATCTCTACCAACATAAAGCTAGAAGGGATATTCTGTACAAGGATGATAATTTTTTAGACAAATACTTATGAAGTGGAGAAGAACAAATTAGGAAATTATAAATTAGCCTTTAAATCTCTCTTGCCCACTCTTCTGATCCATTTGGCATTTACATTCCTATTTGTAAATTCATAAATTAACATTCCTGGTTTATTAATACTCTGAGAATTTGGGTATCTGACATGAAACAGCCTGAGTGATCCAGTTTTCAGTAATCAAATTTCTGACCTTCAGAATTGAGGCATTTGTCCCCTAAGAGTTGGAAAGAAGAGGGAGGGAAACATTTTTTGTATCTGCCCTTGTCCCCTCTTCGTTCTAGTCTCAACAGTGGTCACTGTGCTCCTTGGGAAATGTACGTCATACCCTTGCAGACCCTGCGATGGCTTCCACCCGGGGTCATGCAAATGACCTACAAACGCCGTACTTGAACTGTCAGCAGACGCGGCCAGATGCGCACCCCGACGCCCCGCCCCTGCGGCCACACGGCTCCGGACACACTTCCGAGCCCTTCTAGGTCGCCCCGAAGTCCGTACTGCTAGGAGTCGCCCCGCGCCGGCCCGGCTGGAGGCTGGGACCATGAAGTTCTTCCCCTGGGTTGCTCCTCAGACCCTTCGCAGACCTTGCTCGGGCTTCCGGTCCCGGTCTCCAACCCCGAGTCCCCTTCAGTGAAGTCTGGGCCAAGGGCATCGCCAGCACCCGGAGGTCGCTGCGGGCGCGGGGCTTCTTAACCTTTTCGGTGCCTGGGAGCCCTCTGGCTTCGTGACGAAGCCAGTGGAGCCCTTCTCAAATTATATTTTAAAAAGCATTAAAATAGGATAACAAAGAAAACCAATTATACTACAGAAACAGTTATCAAACAAAATAATTTGCGGTATAGTAACAAATTGCGGTGTGCTTCATTAATATATTAAATATTAAACATCAAGACCCGTCTTATAACTACTGTAACTTCGAAACAGTTAAGTATGAGATATTTGTAACATACTTCATATCTCAAATATGGGGTATGAAAATGTAACTTTTCTTAGTGACAAAGACGCTGGTACTTATCTTCTGACTGTAATTTGTTGCCAACATTCATCCGTGAAGGACATGCTAAATTTCAGTTAGAGGTTAGAGATATTAAAGATGTAATTTCTTTTTCCTATCCAAGTTCACCACTCCCCAAGTTAAGAAAACCTGAAAAGTGCTTAACACAGTGCCTGGCACAAAGTCCCCTCTTAACATGTAGATATTAGTAATTTTATTATAACTTTTCTCGCATCTGTTCAAATTTCTTTTAGGTGACCATGATGAAGTTAATCAAATGAAATCTTGAAGGAGCACAAAGATAAATCAAGAATTCAACCCATTAATTCAGTCATTTTTTTAAAATTATTTTTTATTGAGGTATAACTGACATATAATATTGTATTAGTTTCAGATGTACAACATAATGATTTGATGTTTGTATACATTGTGAAATGATCACTACAATAAATCTAGTTAACATCCATCACCTTACATAGTTACAAAAATTTATTTTTCTTATGACAACTTTTAAGATTTACTTTCTTAGCAACTTTCAAAGATGTAATGCAGCATTATTAACTATATTAATTTTAGTTAATAACAACATATATAACTAAATATATGTTATATATGGGTTACATATATATAACATTTTGTTTATATATATACATTATATATATATATATATATTCAGTCATTTATATATGGGTTCTAAAAGAG